TGCATTGGTAGTGATGGAATTACACTTTAATGCCCCATCTACATATGCATATGTATAACTGTCCATTAATGGACGTTGCATCATCAGATAAGCAATTTAATTAATAAATGGTAGTAAATTTACTACTCAGCCATGCACTACAAACTAAGCATAGAATAAATAAAACTCATTAATCAAACACATCAACGAATAGTCATTTTCATTTCCAATCGTGGCTAAATGAAGCAGTAATGCGTTTCGGTTTGAAGGGTGAGGCAGCCGTTGTAACTATATTGCGACCTTAGAACTTATATCTCAAGGTGTGTGGCGCATTTACGTTGTGGATGTCTATGGGCTCCAGTAACCACTTAACACCAGGTGGGCTGTGAGCTCGTCCACTCATCTCAGCAATAAAAAAAAATCCTTTTCAGGACACGATAAAGGAAACCAAAATAATCTTACGAATGACAAGTGGTGAGACAATGAGAACTGGGAGGGACGAATCTTTCACCAAAAAAATCTTGGAAGTGATAATATCAGTAGTAAACATCAGCAGTAAGTTTTTATTACCAAAAAACCTTTAAACTCAACCATTATCTCGCTATCGAAATGGTTCACTTAAATAGGAAATTTCTCGCTAAAGTGACGTTTGTAAACCGCTCCATCCCTCTAAATGCGCACAAACAGACATCTCGAACGCAAACAGACCGCGAGGAATCGAATTTGAATAAAACTGAATATCCCTTCGTCGCCAAATTAAAATCAAGGGTTTCTGGGAATGATCGCGGATCGTGACGTAAGTTCTCGTGTCGGGCCATAAAAAACGAGTATTTTTTACTATAACCCTTATTTATATCCGATAAAAGTATATTTCCATTTAGACTTTTACAACAAGATTTACCAAAAATAAGTCATCATAAGCAGCCGTAGAGCGTGTCCCTTAAAAATGATAATATCCATAAATGACGCCGCGATGACTGCTGTTTAAATTAAGTCTGTCTCATTTTCGCCATCGTATTGACGCAATAGAATACCGAGAGGAGATAATAACAATACTTATTGGTAATGGAGCAACAAAAAGAACAAAAAGCAACAAAAAGGTAATCGAAAACAAAAAACACAGCAACAAAAAGGGAATCTGCTTGTAACTACAGCCGGGTAACTTAGCAAAATATCAACAAAAAGTAGAGAACAATGTTCAGTTCAGTTCCCAAGTGCTTACCGTCTTGTCGCTGTCACATTTATGGTTATATAATTTATATTGTATGACAAGGATTGAAGAAATTCGATATTATCCCGTTTCGGTGGCCCAACTCAAGGGCTTTAAGGCTACGGTGTAGTGATCCGGCTAGATCCCGGCCGGTCTCAGGAACACCCCACGCTTACTTAACCACTAAACTCACCCTTTCACTCCAAATACTCCTAAATATCGCACTCTTGTTCAGACTTGCTGACGGCTGTATGCTGTAGGATTACTATGTATAAGGAATGGAGGAAGGATTACTATGTGTAAGGATCTATAGTATTATTATAAGTTGCAAAACGAATTTTACAGGACTGTCATTATTTTCGTTGTTTTTAATCATAAGTTTCACAGCACTAGAACTAACTTAGGGAACGTTCAGCGCGCTTGTGAGTCTTGTGACCAACAAAGTGATTCATGCCTCTTAGAAACCTCTCACGTACTGTAACAGTTTGGATCATGTGGGCTGTTTAAATCACTTGAGTTCGTTCGTTCTATTACATCCTATTGTAATACTGTTAATCTGCTGAACAAGCAGCACATGTTATATTCTTTCATCACTCCACTAATTTGCTTAGACAAGCAGTATAGAGTAATATCAAAACCGAGGCGCTTTCGTGGGTGCCAGTCTTAAAGTTTTAGTCTCAGTCTTAGTCTTAGAGTCATCGTGTCAATCTTACAGTCAGCGGGCCAGTCTTACAGTATCAGTCAGCCAGTCTCTTTCTCAGTCTCAGTCAGTCAGTCAGACAGCCACAGTGCAGTAAAGCCAGTTCCAGTCGTAAAGTTCAGTTGTTTCGACGTGTGTCAGAATATAGTAAAAGAACTGAAACAGAGGTGTTAAACAAACATTTATTGTGAGCGTTTTTTGTATAAAACAATGTTGTAGAAAAGGATTTCTGTTTTTTTTTAAAAGACTGACGCCAGCTGCCGCCTTACAGTTCGTCGGAGCGTTCACCAGTCACAAGGCCAGCTTGTCGTTGAATATTCACATTGATACACATCAATTTTAGCTTACTAAATTATCTATTCATATCTAGAAAGTTGTAGTAAAACTAATTTAACTTCTCAGACGTACTCTATCTGATACATTTAAATATTTCTAGAAGCACTTACTTTAGTTCGAGAGCATTTTCACTCTACATATAAATATTAAAGATACAGACGACTGGCCCCAGCTTCTACTATTGACATTTAGGATGGTATCTAGTGTGTTCTCGATTTATAATAGATGTTATTATATTCTATCCTTTCTTTACTTAGCTGCCATTGCTCTGTTTTGAACGTCGATAGTAGCCTTAGTTGTGAACTCGCGCGGGTAGTACTCATACTATGCTTGGTACTACTGCCTGTCTCTTTCTGCTGCAGAGCTATCAAGCCAGTTATTATTGCAAAGCAATTGTTTCGACTTGAAACGTTACAGCGGCGGGCAACGTTCGTTCAACTTCGTGCTTCATTTCCAGCTTGGTGTGTTCACTTCTGTCCACACGGACACTACATCTGTCATTTAATTATAGCTCATGGAGAGCCTTTCTGATAGCGTCGACATTCCTATCTCATCTTTTTAAGCTAACTTTATAATAAAACTACCTGACCTGGCAGACTTTGTAGTGCCTCAATAAATAAATAAAAGACCTAAACTTTTGTATAAAATAAACTTAAAACCAACAAAAGGAATCCGTCTGACGGGGGACACATCAAAGAAAAAACAAAATTGTTATTTTTAATTAAATTCCGAGCATTTTCATATTCATCTAACTTTTAAACCTTCTCTGGACTTCCACAAATAATTCAAGACCAAAATTGGCCAAATCGGTCCAGCCGTTCTCGAGTTTTAGCGAACAACAATTCATTTTTATATAAAATATATAGATAAAAAAATCCGTCACAAAATTTCGTAAATGGAAATATACTATTCCGAACTCATCGAAGTTGAATTGAAAACGTATACAATTACACGCTAGAGCTGATCGCGGTGGCCATAGACACGTTGATTCACGGAAATTTCTCAAAGATACGTAAGGTTCCTGACCGCTCTGTATTATTCTGAATGCTTCATTAATATTCTAGAGAGTTGTTTTAGGCCCGGATAAGACCAGCCCAGCATGCAAATAACTCAAGTATTTGTTACTTATTCTTTGAAAGCATAATGTCGTACATATCTCTCTTGTAGAGATCTGTGAAAAAAAACACCTTTGCGTTGTAAATTTTCGTATTTTTTTATTAGATTAATTTAAGATAATATTTTAGTATTTTATTTACATTCGTAGGCGGTCGTATATATGTAATTATGTAGGCTTTTTGGTGTAAGAGACCTTTCGGATACATTATAATATAATTTATGGTGAATCCTGATGTAGGTTTATTGCTGACAATTTTATTTTTTTGCCGTTTAAATAAACTAATTGTATGTGTCGGGATATTTATTATTAAAGCTTTGTAAAGTAATTGACTTAAGTAGCACATTTCTGTATTGGTTCTACGTTCAAAATTAGTAGATATCGTGATGAGTAAGCGAGATTTCGCTTATGTTGCGTACTCGAATATGTTAAAATTTAAAACTGAAATATGAATATTTATTATTGTTATTATGGACGCCTGATAGTGTCCCAAATTGTGTCCCTGTTACGTCATGACCTTGTAGATTTGGCTAAATGAAAATGATTGCCATATTTAATTTAATTGGCGCCACGGGGGGGAGAGGGCGGCTGACACGTTGCAATGTGCTGTGCGTGTTGGAGTAAACTACTCTAGGGTGCTGCTACTATTTCACAAAAAAAAAGATTGCATTGCGTCACAAAAATATACATATGAATGATGACTACAAATTTAATAAGTTCACGCTGCGGACGAATTCTAAAATGGCCAGATGAAATCGCGTGATATATTGTAGCTAGTGCATTAGAACATCTATTCTGTGCCTTCACATTTGATGGACCGCCGGTGAGGTGCGGCCTTGTTTACTGTACGGATAACATGACTTTTTGAAACTACTCGCGCGCCCCCTTACAAACATTCCCAGGAGTAATAACAATTTACCTTTTTGGCGTATCAAGTCTAATAACAATCTCATTAGAGAAGCACAGAGAACAAACACACAAACACACAAAATAATATAATTTACTTGTTCAGACTAGACGTAACCGCGGTCTTACCTCATTCAATTTGTTTGTCAAAAATTATGAAAAACTTTTTAATTCAAGTTACAAATATCTTTGTGTCTAAAATTTAAATTGAATTGAAATATGTGCAGCTATTTTCTCGTAATTGAGTGACATACGTACATACAAACTTTTAAATTTATAATATCTCGACTACTCGTAGTGAGATCTCTGTCGAAGTAAAATATCGACGTCGACAATGACTTGATCATTCTTATTTTAATTGTCAAGGTCTCGCATCGGATGCGACCCGATGTACGGACCTCCAGCACTTGCCGATAATTTGCAACTAATTATGTATTTAACATCAGAGTTGGCATGGGAAGGTACCACCACCCCGCCTATTTCTGCCGTGAAGCAGTAATGCGTTTCGGTTTGAAGGGCGGGGCAGCCGTTATAACTATACTGAGACTTAGAACTTATGTCTCAAGGTGGGTGGCGCATTTACATTGTAGATATCTATGAGCTCCAGTAACCACTTAACACCAGGTGGGCTGTGAGCTCGTCGTCCACCCATATAAGCAAAAAAAACTTAATAATAATATGTTAACGAATGAATGAATATATGTACATCAAAGCCATATAAGTTGTATATAACCTTCCGACTGTTTATGAATAAAATGAATGCGAGAGAGACACGAAATATTTGTGGCGAGTATGACTCGCGAAGCTGTCAGATAAGTAAGGAGAGTATTATTTTCCAGGTGTCATGGATACGTCACCGCGACCTGCACATCCTGACCGTGGGCGGGTACACGTACACGTCCGACCAGCGCTTCCAGGCCACGCACTCCCCTCAGACCGACGACTGGACGCTGCACATCAAGTGGGCCCAGCAGAGAGACGCGGGAGTGTACGAGTGCCAAGTCTCCACGCAGCCGGTGCGCTCATTCTTCGTGACCCTACATGTTGTGGGTGAGTTTCATAAGGTCGTATATTCCTTCGTGACGTGTTTCCCTCTCCTCTCGACAGTAACTCACAGCAATATGTGATGTTCATTATTTCTTACCACAGAAAAATAAGAGCTTTCTAAGATAAGAACATCTGTGATCTTTATTTGTCTGAAGTCATAGTATTATCTGGCATAGCTAAAAATATAACAATAAGCCTTCAATATTATCTAGGTATGGGCAAACAAATTTACGTCTTAAATTATCCCTTAAACCAATGTTTACACCGATAGATATCACACCCGTCAAACCTGTCCCTGTAGTGTGACAGTCAATAGGAGCATAAACTCACTCGTAATAATACCAATTAAAGTACATCTACTCACTTAAATGAAGTCTCGAAACTTTCGTATTAAGGCGGTTGTGAAATAATACCAGCAGAGTGGTAACATGCCGGAAAATACGTTGATATTACCTATACAATTTAAGTATAAAATGTATAAGGTTTTAGGTTGTTTTTATCAAAATTATCAATGAGATATGGACACAAATATTGTTCCTGGATCCGTTCATCAGCACTGCACTGAAATTAAAAGAACAATAAAGCTCGCGCCGCTCGTGAAGCCGTCAATTTATTTCGAGTGTTCCGCATCGGCAATAACGGTTTATCGTTTAAAATGATTTAACAGACGCACATTGGATTAGGTTCGGCGGAAACAATGTTTGCGTTACATTCCGCCCGGGGGCGCCCAGGGGCGACGCTTTTCAAACGAACGGACGAATGGGAAACGGCGCGATCCGACTCCGAGCCCATTGTCACGGAACATTTTAACATATTTATTGGAGCGGACCGACGTGCCCCGAATTAATCGGGCGCCGCGATGAAAACACCAATTTGTTGTAAATCCGGAGATAAAAGCGCGCATCGCCGCGGCCCGCCCTCCGCCACTCACGCAGGCCTAAACAAGACGGGACCAACTGCTGATGCCACTCTCGGGGTCACTCGTCGTGCCTAACCCTCATTCTCATAATAAAATACTTCATATTTATGGCTGTGAACACATTTTGTTTTCATAGTTTAACAAGTTTCTTTTTCACTTTATACTGAACTAATAGGAGCTAACAGTACCTACCTTATTTCAATTCCTTCGGCTTAGGGTCAAACAGGCTCGGGGCAAAACCACGTGCATCTTTTAATGATGTTCGTCAATAATATGTTGATCTGTTGGCTTTATTTTATAGCTGTGCCGAGCATACCTATCATCGATAAAAACATATTTGAAATAATCAACAATTTTATTTTCAAAGCGTCTATAACAAAACAGAAGATAAAATGTAAATGCACAGAATTATTCTAAATTTTGAGGTGTCAGTGAATACGGTCGCACTTCGATCAACGGGCGAATACTCGTTAAATTAATTTCACGAAATTAATACACAAATACTCGATTCTTTTATACAAATAAATTTGNATCGATAAAAACATATTTGAAATAATCAACAATTTTATTTTCAAAGCGTCTATAACAAAACAGAAGATAAAATGTAAATGCACAGAATTATTCTAAATTTTGAGGTGTCAGTGAATACGGTCGCACTTCGATCAACGGGCGAATACTCGTTAAATTAATTTCACGAAATTAATACACAAATACTCGATTCTTTTATACAAATAAATTTGATATAATATTTGCTGCGAGCGGATACGGGCGCATTCAACATACGATTATTAAAACAATAAATTCATCAAACCACAACTCGTCGAGGGGTCAGAGATGCACATTTGTACATGTGCGAAAATGTATACAAAGGTTTTGGTGTGTTCGCTTTAAGCCAATGGGTTGAACAAAACAAATGATGTCTTTACTAATATATTGTAACTTTTGATTTGAATTAGATCAATTGCTAGATGGGGAGACTGCCGTGAAGGACGATCTCAAGTAGTTGCTGTGGCCCACAGAGTACATTGACCTTGTAACATGTGACTAAACCCCCATGTCGGTACAGTAGCTGAAGGGCACAACCGCTACACGGTACAAAGAGTAGGACAGGGGTACCTACCTACCAGTGGGGACGCACAACACACAGCGCATTACGCCACACTACTTCTGTGAATCTAGTATGACCCCTTGAGGTTACTAGAATAGGAAAAAAAAAGTAATTACGCACATTTAAAAAATTTGCAGGTTTCATTTTTTTCATTCAAAGTTTAAAGTCTAGGGTTCGATAACGATTCAAACCGGGTTGCGTTTTTTTGAGTTCGCTTCACAGCAAAAGAGAGTGAGAGAGAGAGAGAGAGAGAGACTGTGTACTTGACTTCATTCCATCTTTTATAATTCTTATGGTAAGTGGTGCCCAAAATACATATTATTTAGTGACAAAGGTCCTGGTACAACTCACAACATAGTTTCTAAAATATACAGGTCCTTCTATTTGTATGGCCATGGCCATGGATCATACTAGGCATCATCCCTTATAAGCACAATTCAAGCACACTCAACTACGAACGAACTAAGTTCAGCTGCACAACTAAACCCCTATGAATACGAATAGGCCATCAAACAACACATTACCGGAAGAGTAGGCTGCACAGTGAGGGCCCACGCCGTGAGCACTGCCGGCTGGCCCCGCGCCAACTCTCGATCAATCCTCCTAAACGAACTATGATAGCTCCAATCTGCTTCCGTGTTATCATAAAAATAGACACGAGTGTGCAAGAATGTACCGTTATCTATTCTGCCATAAAAGAAGAGTGCTTTCGTTTGATTCAAATAGTTTCTCATTGCAACGACCACCAACGCTTGAGATCGCATGTTTGATATTTTGACGTGACAACGTCTTATAATTCAATGAAGCCGGCTGCACGCACGAAAAAACATGACTCATGCGGCGTTACCTCGCTCTGAGGCGATGTGAGCGATGCATCCGCGTGGACAGCTGCTATACAATAATACATTTACATGTTTTCGTCAAGTATGAAGTTCAGTGAAAAGTGAATGTGGTGTCAATTGTTTATAGCAACGATAATTGCGATAATTGAAAAATGAAACCATTCCATCAGTATTTTCTTATGAAGTTGTCACGTTCAACTATCAACTAAACCGACTTTACAGACAACCGACTTTTTCGTTAACACTTTGCCTAGGTAATCAGACATGTGGCCAAGACAACCTTTTCCGAAAATACTTTGGATTCGCTGGGGGGCAGTTGTGTTTCGTAATTGTATAATTCGACAGTGGTTCATCCCTAAAAATACCGTTTTCTGTGCGCGGGCAACGTATTGGAAACACAAGTTTAAACGAATCGTTGTGCCGCTGATGAAGGCTTCCGAAATAAATGTTTATCGATTTTGTATGTTACACGCGTGCACTGAATGCGATCCGGTTTCAATTTGTACTGGAAAAGTAAAATATCGCTGTCAAATTCGTTTTTCCTGTTGGCCATGTCAGCTAATAATATTTGGAAATGTATTACAAATTATATTATTAAGTATCATTTTATTGCAACATAAACGAACACCATCTCACGATTCAACCGATAAGAGCTACGGTCGCTTGAACATCGCCAATGCTTCATACCGACGCGATGGCCTCCAAGCCATGGATGGAGTCGGATTCAGCTCGATAGAAGATCTTATCTTTTCTATATAATTAGTATTTATGTAACTTGTCAATTTGCGAGACGATAAATAATCTTATTCTTATTAGTCTCTTTATTTGTACTTAATTTTATATGTTTTATATAAAACTAGTTTGACAGATAGGAAACCCGTATTAAATATGATGATTGTCGTGCATCCTCACTGGTAAGAACGTTTACTGAACGTTTACGCCTGTTATAATGATGAATACCTTTTTATGTTAAGGCGGTGGATATTCGACATGCTATAAAGTCTTAAAAGAAAAACAAGAGGGCAGCCTGAGACCGATCCGACACACACCGAGCGGTAGTTACGTGCGCTGGCCGGGAGCCAGTCGCCGGTTCGCTCCAAGCACGACCCTGATAAACTCCCGATCAATCTAAAATACCCGAAATATGCCCTCCTGCTATTAACGTGAACGCGCCAGCTAAATTCTTTTGGCAAAGGCTTTTTCTGTTCGCTTCATTGGCGCTTGTGACTTGTGGTAATTGTGTGATGTTGCGTTTAAACGTCAGAAAAGGTTTTTTATTGAAATTTATGTACAAATTTTACGTTCTACTCGGTGTTGAGGAAACTTCTCATTTTTTTTATTGCTTAGATGGGTGGACGAGCACACAGCCCACCTGGTGTTAAGTGGTTACTAGAGCCCATAGACATCTACAGCGTAAATGCGCCACCCACCTTGAGATATAAGTTCTAAGGTCTCAGTATGGTTGCAACGGCTGCCCCGCCCTTTAAACCAAAACGCATTACTGCTTCACGGCAGAAATAGGCAGGGTGGTGGTACCTACCTGTGCGGACTCACTAGAGGATTTTTTACTGGTGATAGGACCAGTAAAAAATCTTTATCTTTAGTATTTACTAAAGATAAACTCTTTAGTATAATACTACAGCAAACAAATGGAGGAGGAACAAAGACCTGAGTAGAATCAATGAAGCTGTTGATGGCAATAGTTCATTACATACGTCGCCCTCCGCGTTGTCTGGTGTGAGGGGACGCTCATCTGCCGAGGTCGTTGCGCAACACGTGGACGCGCCAATGTTGCTGCTGAGAGCTCCACTTCTGTCAGATGTCTTCTACTCCCTGATGCATAGATGTTAATAATGAGTATTTTATCAAAATGGATTTCCTATAATCCTTTCAAAGCTATTTCCAATCCATAAAGTAATGAATGAGACAGCGAGTCCCGCGCCGAACCAGCTTGTTGTCGCTCCGTAATAAATCCGGATTTCTCATTTACGAAACTTCACAATGTACACAACAACGTCAACAACAAACCGAACTGAAACAAAACAACATTCCGCCGAGAAGAGGAAATCAAAACTTTCAACAAATCATAACTCGATCGCTATTCGATTATTAAATTAAGTAAGTTTAGAGGATC